ATAAAGCAATGAAATGCTATCAGGCAAGAAATACAAATAATATGGTGACAGATGATAGCTACATTTCTGGTGAACATAGCATAATATATATACTTGTTGAATCATTGTGTTGTACACCTGAAACTAGTGTAACGTGTGTCAACTATGCTCAAGTAAAAAAAATCTCATCATTTGAAAGACCTAAATGTGAGACAAGAAACCATCAAAATCCTAGAGGAGAACACAAGCAGTAACCTCTTTGACCTAAGCTGGACCAAATTTTTATTAGACATGTCGCCAAAGGCAAGGGAAACAAAAGCAAACATGAACTATTGGGACTTCATCAAGATAAAAAGCTTCTGCACAGTGAAGGAAACAATCAACAAAACTAGAAAGCAGCCTACGGAACGGGAGAAGGTATTAACAAATGACATATCTGATATCTGATAAAAGGTTAGTACCCCAAATCTATAAAGAACTAGAAAACTCAACACCCAAAAACAAACAACCCAGTTAAGAAATGGGCAGAAGGCACAAATAGACACATTTCCATAGAAGACATCCAGCTGACTAACAGACACATTAAAAGATGCTCAACATCACTCATCATCAGGGAAATACAATCAAAACAAAGATGAGATACCACCTCACGCCATCAGAATGACTAATATTAACAACACAAGAAACAGCAGGTGTTGGTGAGGATGTGGACAAAGGGAAACCTTCTTGCACTGCTGGTGGAAATACAAATTGGTGCAGCCACTTTGGAGAACAGTGTGGAGTTTACTCAGAAAACTAAAAATATAACTGTCTTATCATCCAGCAATTGCACTAATAGGTATTTACCCAAAGGATATAAAAATACAGATTCAAATGGGTACATGTACCCCAATATTTATTGCAGCATTATCAATAATAGCCAAACTATGGAGAGAGCCCAAATGTCCATTGACTGATGAATGCATAAAGAAGATGTTGTGTGTACACACACACACACACACACACACACACACACACACACATGCACGCACACACACAGTGGAATATTTCTCAACCATCAAAAGGAATGAAGTCTTGCCATTTGCAGTGACATGGATGGAACTACAATGTATTATGCTAAACGAAATAAGTCAAAGACAAATACCATATGATTTCACACATACCTGGAATTTAAGAAACAAAACAGATGAACATATGAAAAGGAGGGGGAGCAGAGAAGAGAGGGAAACACACAAGATCCTCTTAATGATAGAGAGCAAACTGATGGTTGATGGAGAGAGGTGGGTGGGAAATGGTCTAGATGTGTAATGAGTACTAGGGAGGGCACTCGTTATGATGAACCACTAAATTCTACTCCTGAAACTAATATTGCAATGTATTTTAACTAAGAAAATTTAAATTAAAAAAACCTCATCACTAAATAACCCCCCAAAATAGAAATAAAAGACATACAGATTGGAAAGGCAGAAAAAAAAACTTTCTTTATAGGTGACTTGATTTTCTATATAGAAAATCAAAAATCTACAAAAAAACTCTTTGAACTAAGAATTGATGGGATACAAGGCAAACATACAAAAGTAAATTGTATTTCTACATGCTATTATGAGCAACTAGAAATGAAAGTTACACAGAACAGCATTATTTGAAATAGAATAAAATAACATGAAGTACTTAGGTATAGTTCTAAAAAATATGTGCAAGATCTGTATGTGGAAAACTAGAAAACACTTATGACAGAAGTCAAACTCCAAACAAATAGAAAGATCGTTTGTGTTTATGAATTGGAAGGCTCAATATTGTTAACATAACAGTTTTCTCCAAGTTTATTCATAGATTTAACATGTTTCCTAGCAAAATTCTGCAGTAGTTTCTTATTCAAAATTTTTTTTGGAAAGGGAAAGGACCTAGAATAGCCAAAATAATTTCACAAAGAAGTATAGAGTTGGAGGATTCATAGTATTTAATTTCCAAACTTAATGTAAAGCCACAGTGATTAAGATAGTGTGGTATATGTGAAATGAGAGACACATATAGATCAATGGAACGCCATAGGTAGTCCAAGAATAGACTTATAGAATTTGATTTTTGACAAATAGAAAAGGCAATTTCAATAGAAGAATAAGTTTTTTCAACAAATGGTGCTAAATCAATTGGTCATCCATGTGTAAAACAAAACAAAAAAGATGAACCTCAACCCACGCTTCACACAGTATACAGAAATTAACTCAGAATGGATCATAGACTTAAGTATATAACCTAAAATGATAAAAAAAAAAAAACTTTTGGAACAGAGGCAAACATTTTCTATAAAGGGCCCAATAATAAATATTTTAGTTTTTATGGGCCACCTATGTTTTTTGTCATATATTTTTTTTTCCTTTTTAACAACTCTAAATAATGTAGAAACCATTCTTAGCTCACAGGTAGTTCAAAATGAAACCTACAGGCCAAATTTAGCCCATGGGCAGTACTTTATTATCCTTTATTTTAGACGAAAGCATAGGAGAAACTCTTTATGATTGTAGGTTGAGCAGAGTTGTTAGATAAAATACCAAAAGAACAGTACATTTAAGAATTGATAAATTGGACTTAATTAAAACGAAATGTACTTTCATATCATGTATCTGACAAAAAGGACTTTTAGCCAGAATATATAAAGAATTCTTCAAGGTCAGTAATTATGAAACAACCAAATTTGAATTTGGAAATACAGGCAAAAGATTTGAACAGGTACTTTACCGAAGAAGGCATCTGAATAGTAAGCACATCTAAAGATTCTCAATATAATCAGTCATCTAGGACATGCAAGTGAAAACTACAATGAGATACCATTTCTTATCCTGTCAGAATAGGCTTCAAAAAAGAAGGAAAACTGGCAATACCAAGTGCTGCCAAAAACGTGGGGTAACTAGAACTGATACATTACTAGTTAGAATTCAAAATGTTATAGCCACTTTGAAAAACAGTTTGGGAGAAGATATTTGCAAATGACATATCTGACAAAGGTTTAGTATCCAATATCTGTACAGAACTTAGCAAACTCAACACCCAAAAATGAATAATCCAATTAAAATGGGCAAAAGATATGAATAGACATTTTTCCAAAGAAGACATACAGATGGTCAACAGACACATGAAAAGATATTCAACATCACTCATTATCAGGGAAATACAAATCAAAACCACAGTGAGATATCACCTCACACTTGTGAGAATGGCTAAAATCAACAACACAGGAAACAACAGGTGTTGGCAAGGATGTGGAAAAGGGGAACTCTTGCACTGTTTTTGGGAATGCAAACTGGTGCAGCCACTCTGGAAAACAGTATGGAGGTTCCTCAGAAAACTAAAAATAGAACTACCCTACAATCCAGCAATTGCACTACTAGATATTTACCCAAAGAATACAAAAATACTAATTAAAAGGGACACATGCGCCCCGATGTTTATGGCAACATTATCTACAATAGCCCAATTATGGAAACAACCAAAGTGTCCATTGACTGATGAATGAATAAAGAAAAGGTGGTACATATATAATGGAATATTACTAAGCCATAAAAAAGAATGAAACCTTGCCATTTGCAAAGACATAGATGGAGTTAGAGAGTATTATACTAAGCAAAATAAATCAAAGAAAAACCAATACCATATGACTTCACTCATATGTGGAATTTAAGAAACAAAACAAATGAACATGGATGGGGGAAAGGACAGGCAAACCAAGAAACAGACTCGTAATCATTGAGAACAAACTGATGGTTACCAGAGGGGAGGGGGCGTGTGGGAATGGGGGAAATAGGTGATGGAGATTAAGGAGTGCACTTTTGATGAACACTGGATGTTGTATGGAAGTGATGAATCACTAAATTCTATACCTGAAACTAATACTACACTGTATGTTAACCAACTGGAATTGAAAGAAAAACTTAAAAAAAGAAAAACATTTTGACAATTTCTTATAAACATACCCTTACCGCATGACCCAGCAATCCCATCCCTAGTTATTCATCCAAGAAAAAATGTGACACTTCACACAAAAATCTCTAGGCCAGTGTTCATAGCAGCTTTGTTCATAATTGCCAAGAATTGGAAATAGCCCAGTTTCCTTCAGCTGGTGAATAGATGAATGAATTGTGGCATGTTTGTATAATGGAATACTATTCATCAATAAAAGGTAACAAACTACTGATTTGTACAGCAACTTGGATGCATCATGCATTATGTTAAGGGAGAGGAGACATAGTGAAAAGGCTACATACTATATGATTGCATTTATATGCTATACTGGAAAAGGAAACACTATAAGACGTAAAACAGATCAAGCAGTTGCCAGGGAATTAGAGTGTAGAGAGGAGTTGACTACAACCAGGTACAGGAAGCCTTTTGGTTTGATGGCACTATATATGTATCTTATATATCTTGATGTTGGTGGTGATTATATGACAGTATACATTTGTCAAAACCCATCTGAGTACATTAGAAAGTTTTAGTATATGTAAAAAATTTTTTAAACTAAGAGAGACAGAAGATAGAGGGACAGTGAAGTTTCTATGGTCAAAGTATTTTACTGATGATGGGACAGGCTTTAGCTTGTTTATGGGGACAGGGCCCAAGTTAACAAATAAGAAGATGTTAAAGGTTACCTACCTTAAAAAAGCAACTTGAAAATGTATTTTATACTTATAGATACTTACCCAAACTTATAGATACTTATAGATGAGTTGCAGGCAAAAGAAATGTGTGGTTTGTAATCTTATGTATTATTTTGTGAAGTTGATTTTAAGTATTGAAGTTGAGTGCTCAGCATAGGTTAAATTATAAGTCTGTAACTTTTAATGCATTTCCTGTTATCTTCTGTGAGTACTTCTGCGTACTTTTCTTGCTCTATGATTGGTTAGCTTTTCAAGATCCCTGCTTACTATGATGTGCCTTTTCACATGGGTGTTGTGGTTCCTAATGACTAGTGACTCAGCTATTGTTGTTGTTTTTAATATTTAAACTATATTTATTTCTTAAAGGTGATATTGGGCCAAATGGACAACCTGGGCCAATGGGACCTCCTGGGCTTCCAGGGATAGGTGTTCAGGGACCACCAGGGCCACCAGGGATTCCTGGACCAGTAGGCCAACCTGGTAAGATTGGAGTAAATAAATGTGCATTTTGTAGCACTCATTATTAGAGGTTGGTTAGCTCATCAGTAAAGTACAACCTATGTAACAGTTTTCCAGAAAACAGATTTTAGTAACATGTCTATTTGTATAATATTATAAAACTGAAAAAGTATAGATCACAGCATAAGAGCTACTTTAATCCCATATTTTCCCTTCCGGTTCATTTAAAATTGATCTATTGAACAATAATACAGTTTAACATTGCAGTATGTTGCCACAGCATACAGTCATTAAGCTAGTGGCAGTCTTGGAATCACAGAGCTAAGAACGTCTAGTGCTGATTATTTCAGATCTGAGTAGCTGTACAGAATTAATAGACCTTTGTGGAATCTTTTAACATTTCTTTGCACATATAACATTCTGTTAAAAATGTATTTTAGGCATTCTCATTTCTTTTTCTTTTTTTAAATTAAACAAGTGCGTTGAATTTTTTCCCCCTTTGCCCCTAAATCAGCAGTTGCTTTGCAACTCATAAGCTCTCTAAACTTTTTTTAAATTGTTTTTTTAAAGTTTTTTACTGTTTGTTTATTTTTGAGAGACAGAGCGCAAGTGGGGAAGGGAAAGAGAGAGGGAGACAGAATCTGAAGCACGCTCCAGTCTCCGAGCTGTCAGCATAGAGCCTGGCATGGGGCTCAAACTCACAAACCATGAGATCAGGACCTGAGCTGAAGTCTGACACTTAACCCACTGAGCCACCCAGGCGCCCCTAAACTTTTTTTATATACTTAGGCAAAACAAGTTTTGTCAGCTGGTAACCTGATAAAGAATCATATTGTTCCTCTACGTTTGTGTGAGAGCTTACTTGAGTTTTGTGGATTCTGAGCCATCTGGTTATGCACAGTAAGGGCCACTCTTGAGCCAGTATGTTACTGTAAAGCAATGTAATAATTCCTGAAGTTAAAACAAATATGAAAAACTTAATCATTCCTTAACTTACATGAATATGTCAGATGATTTACATGAATATGTTCAGATGTACATACATTGATTTTGAAACAGTAGAAATATGTTTTCTGCCCTTAAATGACAATAGATATTTTGTTAATTATTATGTTAAAATCTAGAAACACCAATTAACAATATAAAAAGCCTGGAAGTAAAGGTTATTTTAGCTTATTTCCTGTTTAAATATTTTATTTTATGGCACATTGTACCTTTTTTTTAATGGCCTCTAACATGTCACTACTACTGACTTAAAAATAAGAAAACTTAGAGTGTTGCTTTGAACCAGGTTGTTCAAACCAGGTTGTTGTAGCTGCTTCAACACTTATGAAAAAACCATTCTGTTCAACTAACGCAGCAAAAGGATCTTGAGAAAAAACAATTTTTAGGTTTGGTCATTTTAGTCTTGGCCTGCTGTTCCACAAATATGGCTAAAATGAATTTATCATTTCTGTTGTGTTTTGTCATTTCTTTTATTTCCCAAAATTGCATGAGGTTTTGGAAGCATTCTGAATTCTTAAATCACAGCTAAACAAGAGTGGAAATACTACTGTTAATAACAAGCTGAACAAAATAAGAATACATCTATTTGTGGTTTATGCTTTCTCAAATTTAGCTAATATTCTAAATGTTTCATTCTTCCAATGTTCTCTGCTTTTTAACTTATGGATATATAGGTGTATTAATTTATAAAGTCTAGATAGAACAGGCAGGGGAAAAGTAATGTTGCTGATTTAATCTCATCTCTTTCTTCTGTAAATATATGCTTTGCCATAGAAGTCAAGATCTTAACTAATATGGTTAAACAAATGAAGTTAATAGCAACTGTCATGAAAATGTATTGAATGCACTCTTATTAATATAGATATGTTATCAAATCACAGATTTTTTTTTTACTATAGGATAGACCACATTTTATATTTAATACTAGCCACATATACTCACTTTTTATATAAATTTATTTATATCACCAAAGCAGAAAATTATCTTAGCCCATTTCAAAAACATTGTAATTTCTGTTCATACATCTCAATGAAAGGGTGATCAGGAAGGCTGTTACTTATATTTTGATATACCTGACTTACACTGCATGGCTAAAATTCTAGCTACCAATGTTTTCTAATAAGCTTATTTAATATACTTGCTGTGTTTCATTTTGCAGTAGAAAACTTAATGCAAAATATTCTATATTGTCATCTGCCCAGTATAAAATGTTTGCATTATGCTTTTCAAGCATTTTTTACTCCAGCGTTCTGCTGTAATTTAATTAAACTTTACTATTTGTCATTCTCCTTTCCAAGGCAGGATACACAGTTTAATGCATGTTTATAAATTAAGGAACTGTTGAATTATCAATTCCTCATTTGACAGCAGGGAAATTAAAGAAAAAAAATGCCAAAGGATAACCAAAATGCTTTCATTCCATGCCCTACTCATCCAGGCAGAAATGGAAATTGTTGATTCTTATTATTTGATCTGGCTATTAGCTAGGAGATTGCTGCTTTAGTGAATATTTTAGAGGTCAGTTAGATATACTCAATTCCATGTTCACATATCATACCCTAACCTGAGCCAAATATATTATAATGCTTGCCTGGCCTCAGGAAAAAGTACATAACTGAATCAGTTCAACCTCATTGCTACTAATGTTAAACAAAGAAACAAGGAATTAGTCATGTCATTTCATAGATGACGTTTCCTAACATATTTTCATCTATGAAGTTTTCTAACTTGTTTTCATCTATCAAACCCTTGGTTAGCATGTGTGTGTGTGTGTGTGTGTGTGTGTGTGTGTGTGTGTGTAAAGTTCTCACAGATAATGTGTTTTTGAATTTTTCCCCTTTTTTCAGTAACTGGTTCCATTTAGCTGCCAATAAATTAAGAGCATCTGTATACCCCTCATGCACTTACCCCTTATAGATATAGCCATATAATTCCTATTATTATATAAGGATGAATTTATCATTTCTGTTGTGTTTTGTCATTTAAAAGAAATGTCATTTAAGAAATTTCATAATCTTAATTCTTGATCTTACTAGGATGCCTATTTCTGACAATATTCATGAAAAAGATCTATGCTATGAAAAGTACAGCATAATATCTGTTACTACTACAAATAACAGTAAAAAAAAATCTTTGCTAGTACATGCGGGTTTGTTTAATCATAGTCATCCACTAATTATTATTGAGTTCTCTGTACCTAAGCTGTTATATTATAAAATAAAATTCAGTTTTAAATTCTAACTTATCTTTAGGAGCTTAAGTTCCAAAAGGGTTATTCAAAGCAATATAAGGATCAGAGATAAAAATGTAAAGTTGATTTTCATCAAAGAGGATGTAAATTTAAAAAAATAAAAAATAAATAAAACAAGTAATAAAAATAAAAATAAATAAAATAAATAAAATGATACCTTAAAAAAGAGAGCATTACTTTTTGTGAATGTAAATATTTTAGTGTGTCTCTGTTGGCAAATACATTTCATTTATAGAATATGCTATATGAACATCTTAATGAATGCCTAAAGTAAGTTTCTTTCTCATTACTAATATATGATAGTCATGAATCAGTATCTAATAACTTCTACTTGTAGACATTTTTGTTCTCATCTTAACATGCTTAGTTTTGTCTCCTAACTTAATCAATCTTTTGGCAACTTGCTTCTGCCTGGGTAGTTCATCTTGCTACTAAACTGTAACTACTGCCTCTTGAACTTCAGGCCTACCAGGTACTGTAGTTCTTTCTCAAAAGCTGGATCTTAAAGTAAAGCTTTAAACCTGAAAAACAAACAAGATTTCTCCAGACTTAAGTCTTTGGTTTCTTTTCATTCTTTTGTGGAGCATATTTCAAAGGACAAATTATTTATCTCAAAACCTCAGCTGTCAAAAACTAGTTGGAATATAACAATAAGCAGCAATCCATATAGAGCTATAATAGTGCTCGTTTTTAGGTATCATCATACTTCACAAATACAATAATATAAAATCTCTCTCCCATTTTTATAGTATTTTTTTATGAAATGACAGCATTGGAACCATCACCACTGTGCCAACTAAACGGAATTCTCTAATCTTCGAAGTGAATTTTATTGGTTTAAGGACATGCTGGTATATGACACCAAACAGATCTTAAAATCCTAGCATCTTGCTCTATTATAAAAATAATTGTCTATGAACCTTCAACGATAGAATTAGGTCTTATTGTTGAAGGGACCCTTGGAATGGTCACCTGGCTCAGCCTCTAGCTTCCAGTCAGTTGTATCCCCAGATGTAGATCAACAATATTAAGTGACTCACTAAGTCACATAGCTGATAGGTATTGGAGCGGGAACTTGCTCTGTGTTTGTAGAGTAATTCTTTTCCCTATATTCTAAGCATCTTGTGTCTTGGAGTAGTTCAGTCTTACAAAACTTACTAAGGTTAAGCATTTTTTCAACGTCATATTTTTTCTGTAAAATCCTGGTTGGAATACTGGGAAACAAAATTTAACAACAAAAATTTATGGTAATGTATTATTAAAACAACATGTAAAATGAGGTTAAAATAAAGTCAAAAAGGTCCATGCAATGGGCTTACTCAGTAATTAGTCATTCTTATGGATTATGGAAATATAGCCCAATAATCCATAGTACCTTAGAACAATGCAAATCCAAATGCAGTCAACGGACCAATGTCAAATCACAAACTGCTTGTTACCAGTCTGCATTGGAATTAAAAGAAACTGAGAGTAAGCATTTAGAAACTTTTATAGCAATTTGACAGTGTAATTGTAGTTGTTGAAATTAATAGCCGAAAGTAGACATGTATTATGTATGTCTTTGGTTTTTTTATTTTAGTTCTTTTAGTCATTTTACAGTATTTTATGAAAAATATTAGTCCAGGATGGACCAAGAATTAAGAAAAGATTCATCCTTCACCAAAAATAATTTGAGAAGCACTTTCATAGAGAAATGTACCTGAAAATCCTGAAGTTTGATTGTTAGGTCATTTTATGTGCATGATACCAAAAGAATCTCTGACTCACTGTTAGGTTTATTATAGAAAGGAGTCTGTCACTTGTTTGCTAGAAAAATGATCAGACACATCTCTTAAAACTACTTCAAAACTGGTTAATATTGGTGTTGTATTAACTAGGCTTACATGGAATACCAGGAGAGAAGGGAGATCCAGGACCTCCTGGGTTTGATGTTCTAGGACCCCCTGGTGAGAGAGGCAGTCCAGGAATTCCTGGAGCACCTGGTCCTATGGGACCCCCAGGATCACCAGGGATTCCAGGAAAAGGAGGTGCCTCTGGATTTCCAGGTAATTTATTTAAAGTTTTCTCTGGTTTTGGATTCAGGAAATTAAAACTCTTATGATTCTGTTATATTATTCCTTTGTTGTACTTTTCTGGATTGACCTAGTCCTTAAGGAAAAGTGTTAAATGTCTTTTCAAGAGACTCACTTTGTTATTTACATTATACTTTTTCTCTGGGAGATTTCTTGTTACATATTGCTGTATAGAAAATGACCCCAGAATTTAATGGTTTAAATCAACCTTTTTTATTTTGTTCAAGATTTTGTGGGTCAGGAATTAAGGCATGATTTGAATGGGGTCATTTATCTCTGATCCAGATGGCATCAACTGGAGCTGTTGGGATGAAGGATCTACTTCCAGAATGGCATTTCTCTGACACCTGACTGTTCCTTGGCCTCTTCACATGTCTCTGATTATCCATAATGTTTCTTCACATGGCTTAGGATTGTTATATTATGATAAAGTCAGGGTAGTTGCTCTCCTTCTAAAGGCAGGTGGCTTCCAAACAAGAGAATCCCCCAAACCAAAACCGAGTGTTCCAAGAGCCCCAGGTGAAAGCCACAAGACTTTTTATGATCTAGCTTTGGGAGTCACAATGTCACTTAGTCAAGGACAAGGCACAGAGTCAGCCCAAATTCAAGGGGAGAAGGTTACACAAGGGTGTGTATACTGGTAAGTGTTGTGCATTGTGAGGCCATCTTTGGAGATAAGTAACCACAGTGAGTCTTCATATTCATAGGTATTGGCAATAGTGGTCACTATGGTTACAACAGTTGAAAAGGGGTAAGACTTAGTGCCTTCCCTCCAACCCTCAGGTCTTCCAGTTGCCATCTTAAAACTTACCTTTTATCTTTCCAAGGTCAAGGAAAGGTAAAAGTTAATTATTTATATTCTTCAAAGGTGCCAAAGGTGAAATGGGTATGATGGGACCTCCAGGCCCACCAGGACCTTTGGGAATTCCTGGCAGGAGTGGTGTTCCTGGTCTCAAAGGTAATATTCAGAGTTGGTGGCAGATGCATGTAAGAGAGAAAATTTAACATCTTTTATGTCAATACAAAACATTTTTATTTGACTGCTTTAAAATGAGCAATGCTTGCTTGTATATTCTTTTTTAAGTTTTTAAATGTTTATTTCTTTATTTATTTTGAGAGACAGCGTGTGTGCATGCAAGTGGGAGAGGGGCAGAGAGAGAGAGAGAGAGAGAGAGAGAGAGAGAGAGAGAATCTCAAGCAGGCTCAATGCTATCATTGCAGAACCCAATGCAGGGCTCGATCCCATGAGAACCATGAAATCATGACCTGAGCCAAAATCGAGTCAGATGCTCAACCAGCTGAGCCACCCAGGTGCCCCACTTGTGTTTGTTTGTATGTGACATGGCATTTAAATAGGTTCTGTTTTCAATGTGGTGGCATGTATAATTCGGATACCGTGAAATGTGGTAAATGCTCAGCTCAAAATAACAAAATATAGGTATCAAATTTTGATTTTTTTTACAATTCCTATAATTGTCAAAGAACCCCAGAAAATATATGAAGTGCTATTTGAGTATAAAAATGTGTGTGAATTCAAGTTATTCATAGACAATAACCACGGCGCGTAAGTGTTTTGGATGGTCAGTGACCTACCAAACTGTGGAACATATGAATAATCTTTATATGCATTAATCTTGGAAGGATGAATCTGATCTGTTGTCCTCCACACACATGTCGGTTTTAGGTGATAATGGTTTGCAGGGTCAGCCAGGACCTCCTGGCCCTGTAGGAGAAAAAGGTGGTAAAGGAGAGCCTGGCCTTCCAGGCCCTCCTGGACCAATGGATCCAGATCTGCTGGGCTCAAAAGGAGAGAAGGGGGACCCTGGATTACCAGGTGAGTGAATGTATTTATTTGTGAATGTGTTTACTGGTATATCTGAAGTTTAATTTTTAATAGCATGAAAAGTGACTTGTAGCATAGGAGTCACCAACAAAAGGCACTTAGATGTATCAAATTTTGGTAATGAAAATTTTCACCTGATTTGTACTATTTCAGTGATCAACTTTTATTTAAGTATTTTCTTTGTAGTTTAATCTATCACAAACTATGAAGTCTTAAAATAGACTTAAGGCAGTCACCTTCAGGCTTTCCAGAAAGTAGTACAGGATGTGGTTGAGAGAAATGGATATATGGCCAGAATCACTTGGAAAACAGATTTCAGTGCTTAGGAAATTTGCTGGGCCTTTAATTTTTTTCCCATGAAGCCAGATGGGAATGAGTGGTACATTGTTGCCCTGCAGTATTTTGATATCTGTATCATACTTGGCTCTAAATGCAGTTCATTGTTATTCTGCCATGGAAGAATAACAAGTATTAGACTATGAAGAGCCAATCTCAGCCCTGGGGGAAGTTGCTGAAAGTAGGTTTAGGGAACAACTGTGTTACTATTGTTATTTTACTAGAAACAAATAAGAAGTATAACATTTATTTTTTATTTATTTATTTATTTTTAATGTTTATTCATTTTTGAGAGACAAAGTGCGAGTGGGTGAAGGGCAGGGAGAGAGAGGGAGACACAGAATCTGAAACAGGCTCCAGACTCTGAGCTGACAACACGGAGCCCGACGTGGGGCTCAAACTCACAGACAGCAAGATCATGACATGAGCTGAAGTCGGATGCTTAACCAACTGAGCTACCCAGGCACCCCAACATTGATTTTTTAAATACAAAATTCTTTTTTCGTTTTACAAAACTGTAACATATAACAAGGCATCAGAACATGTAGATAAGCATGAATCAAATGAAGTCCTTACAATCTAATCTATATAGAATAGCCTTTCAAAAAAACATGGAACTTTAAAACTAGCTGTGTTTATTTGCAGCTTATAGTAAAGTTTGTGGCTCTTTTTGGTTTGTAAACGTTAATATTGTTCGTGTGTGTGTGTGTGTGTGTGTGTGTGTGTGTGTGTGTGTATACACAGATAGTATGTTTCCCTATGAGCAGGACTTGGTGGGATTTTTTTCTCAAAAAAGAGTTTAAGACATTACTATAGTTTTGTATGTTGTCAGAAAAGAGGCAGGGCTGCCTCATTTTTTGTATTGCTAAAATGAGATATCTTTCTTGAATGACTCCTTATAAGACTTCTCTTTCAATTATGCCTTCTGTAAAATAAGAAGCAGTAAACTCTATTATAATATAATACGGCTATTAAAGATAGTAGTAGAATCTAAGAGATAGTCTAAAGATAACTTGCTCCAGTTCCTTCATTTTACAGTGTAAGAAACTGAGGCCCAAAGAGGAAAGTGACTTCAGTAATGAGTGCATTGAATTTCTTAATGATAGCTCAATAAAAAGTGGAGGAGTTTAGTATGTGTCCAGTGCTATTTGGTTCATGCTATATCAGAATATCATGGGTTCCTGTATTTCATTCATAGTTCAGAATTTGGGTTGCTTGCCTTGTCAAATTATTTTTATGGTTAAGATTCTTTAAAATTTTATTATAGTTAAATTCTAGTTAGTTAACATATAGTGTAATATTGATTTCAGGAGTAGACTTTATTGATTCATCACTTACATAGAACACCCAGTGCTCATCCTAACAGGTGCCTTTCTTAATACCCATCACCCATTTAGCCCATAAACTTAACTTGTCTTCCCTCTACTCATCCTTGGAAGGTATTCCTGGAGTTTCAGGACCAAAAGGTTACCAGGGTTTGCCTGGAGACCCAGGGCAACCTGGACTGAGTGGACAACCTGGATTACCAGGACCATCAGGTAAGTATGATAGACCACCTGTAGCAATGTAATGACTGATCTCAAACCCTAGAAAAATTTTATGTATCATATGTGATGATGTTTTGGATCTTTTCATCACAAGATGCTTGGGTAACTACTGAGATTTGGAGCTGTTTTTTTAGCAAAAATGTTGTCATTTGGCCCAAGCGTCAACTGACAAGATTTCTAGAATAATTTTGGCTCAATTTCTTCTTTTTGAGGCAGTGAGAATGTATAGAGAATCAGAAGTATATCTAAATAAGGTGCTGTGTTTTATTTACGTACGTTGCAACATATGTAAATTAGACAGTTATCTGATAGGCGCTGAGAAATTTACCTTTTTTTTAGTTTTTGCCTTCAGACAACAAAATCATTAAACCATGTAAAGGTGGCTGCTGATTCTATTTTTTAAAGTCTCTAGGGATGAAAATGTTACAACCTACCTTGGTAGTCTGTTTCAGCATGAATCACCCTCAGAGGCCACATGGATTTTTTCCTTATTTCTAATAAAACTATTTCTTGCTGCTTTATTTATTTATTTATTTATTTATTTATTTATTTATTTTTCAATATATGAAATGTATTGTCA